AAAACAACCAAATTGAAGATGTCTGCTGCATGTTTCTTTTCGCGGCAAACAAAACAATTTCTGAAGTGACTTTACAGTACTTTCCTTTCTGGTACTTTTTTAGCCTTTGCTCAATAGTTGTTATGCTTTAGAGCCCGGCAGTTTCGTTAATAGCACGCGATGATTTGCTAGTATCGAAATAATGCCCACGTAGCCGGGGTCCGTAGGGGTCCGGGTGTTTTGTACCACCCTCTTTAATCTGTTTCAATGACGTGGATATTTGAACTGTATCACATGATGAAGTTTTCTAAACTATCTACTTCGCTTTGAGGTGATCTCAGTTGGTACGGAGGTGGTTCAGATTGCTCTTATTTGACAATCCTTATTTTGTTCGAATGCTTTTTAAAACATCAAAGATTGCCTTCATTAAGGTTACTTCAAGGAACCTCCTTGCGAATACTATGCTCGGCGGGATAAACGGGTTTTGCATATTATGATCTCCCCAGTGTGATTGAAAGTAACCTACCGTGCCACAAATTGTAGCTAATGTTTTCATTAGCCAAAGGATTAACTTAGTTCTGCTCTGAAACGAGGATCAGACTACAATTACTATAATTTCACCGCCTGCCTCCTTTGTTCTAGATCTAACACAGGTCAGATTCACACAGTCACTCGCAAGCCACTTTTCCCTATTCCGGGCACTGCCACCAACAGCCACTCTTTTGATCTCAGTTTGGATACATGTGCGTCCAAACACTCATTGCCGTTTATATCCCACTTGAGTACACAACTCCTTGGGTCACGCGAAACGCACACTCGCAGAACTTGGACAGAAGCAGTCCTGGCCTGTCTCAGACACCCAGCGAAATCCAATGAACGCTTAAAATACACTCGTTCGGGCACGGCTTACTGTAGTCAGCAGACCCTCTGATCTCTCCATCGGTCTGGAACATTATCGCAAAGGTTCTGTACCGATTTAGTGCTCCATTCCGGTGTCTTTTATCTCCTGCTAACAAGGACTTAACCAGTTGGTTGTAGCGCTCAAAAGTGCACCAAAAGTAAGCCGTGCCGCTACAAAAAACAGCTTTCACTTCTGGCTGATTCAAGACCCACTGACGGAAGTCTATTTCGTGTGAACATAGGCTGGAGGTCATTTGTGGCTTTCGTTGCTTGCGTTGGTCGGGCATTCAGACTCACGTTCATCTTCGGTCTTGGTAGGGGTCTAGTAACAATAGTAGTAACAATAATGCACGTCTGCCGTCTCTGCCCGACGGCGTCACTTGTTGTAGGAAACACGTATAGCCCCAACAAGGATGACTTGTATGGACGCCTAAACAGCACATGAGAATATAAACGCGCCTTCAACGAAGCCTAGAGGTCATTCTGGTGGATTCGAGATGATTGCTTAGGCAATCCTGTCTGGACAGTGAGCTTGTTGTTCCATAATGGTGGATTCCATACGAGCAGTAAGTTGGGTGGCTAAAATCGACCCAAGTGTGATTAAATTCACGACTCACGGTGAGACTCGTGGCTCAATGGTAGGGTGTTGGCTGCGCAAAAGCCTTCCCTGCTACGTAAGTTCGACTCCCACCGTAGCGGCAAATTTTTCACAATTGGGTCAACTGAAGTAAGCAAATCTGCTTTGAGATAAATTTTAGGAACGGTAAATATACCCCTGTCTTAACTCTAACACTACCCCTAACTGTAACCTTAATTTTAGCCCCAGCCCTAGCCTAAACCCAAACCCTGCAGTAAAGAAGAACCCAAACATTGACGCCTAACATAGTCTTGACTCGAAGCCCAGTCCGGACCTTTACCCTAAACCTACTCTTCCCGGAATTTGGTGCAAATTCACGTGTATTTTGGGCGGTTCCTATGCTAATCTCCTGCTTAGGCGACCATACAAGTCATTCCTGCCTAGCTCCCTTGTCCAGGCTACGCTTCGGTGACTGGTGTTTGTGCCGAATGTAAAAAGTAGGAAAAAAGATGTAGATTTAGAAAAACCGCTAGCATGAGTACGCAAGTCCATACGCGAGAAATAAAGGAGGACAATTACACACTGCTCGGAAGCATAGAATGCAAAAGTGCTCAAACCCAATTATGCGCAATATGCCTCTATTAATTCGTGAGACTGAACATTATCCCTTTTCTTACCTCCCACCCCCAACATAAGTGCCCTTCTTCACATGAGCCATCTGCCTAATTAATTCATCTGTAACAGTGAAACATGCTGACCTGGCCATGAATGCGCCCCAAAATTAACATATGGTAGGGACCAAAAAATAACTCATTATCTGCAGTATTATGCAACTCGGCCAGAAGCTAGGGGACAGGACACAACAGAAGCGAAAAGTGCAGAGGGGGACGGAGACTTACTTTGCACAGCTGCGTCCCTCATCTTTTCATCCATGGCGGACTCCCACTCGTAGATTGAGTTGGTGGCTGAAAGGAAACATACAGATCAGAATGCTGACCTTCTATTTAGCAAGTGATCTGTAAAATCTGTCTGATCAAAGCCGCGACGTTTACAGATTAAAAGCAAGGCACTTCGAGATTAAGGTGCTCTGGGAGATTGCGAAATTCGCTTGTGGAGTTTTGGGCTGTTACCAAAAGCCCAACAGAGTAGGACTGTTTTTGGTCCGAAGGACATAGACTAGAGGAGCTACAACAGGTAACCCCAGGCTGAGAACGGAAGAGAGAAGAAATAGTATGACTGTTTTTTGATGGAGTTACAGTGGCGGACAGATGGTCCGTGGGCATAGCAGCGACGATGCGGAGACTTGTTCGAAGGCCTTTGCAGTGAAAATCAAAGTCCATTTGACGATTAACATGGTTGTTACTGGATAGCTGGGCCTCTAGAAAGTCTCATGAATGTTTGGGGCTTGGCGTTTCGGTGACTACTTTCAAGTGAAGTAAATTGTTCTTAATATATTTACTGACAAGTCTTAGTGAGCGATAAAACCCACAGTGAGAACTGTTGAATCTTCTGCGCAAGTTGATTTAGTAAGAGGTTTTGGACTGGCATGACCAGACCGTCGCGTGCAGGCAAATGGACGGTGAAGGGACATAACCTAAGCAATAATGTCACGAAACAGAGAACTCAAATGATGGAATAGCTGCGATGAATTTTGTGCTTGACTGCTGTTCAATAGTATTATTGGACAAGTGCAGCCAAGTTGTACATGAGAGAAATACATTTCAGGAAATTATTGCTATAGAAGGATTAGGAGAGCCTTCGCGCGACAGCCACCTCTTATTATCTGGCTCCGGTCCTGTCGTAGTTAACTCCCGTAAGCAAGTTTATATCCTATCGAAATGGACGCCGAGGTCAGTAGAGATGTGTTTTTGTAATAAATTGTCCCACATAGGTAGTATTTTGTATTTTTCGTGATGACACCCGATAAGTGAAAATTCATTTTAGTGAACAACGGACACAAATCGGGCACAGAAAATCAGACACTAAGAACTGATCTACTTAGTGTGATAAATCTCAGTAATCAAACGTTCTTGCAATACACACGTAAATATGTCCGGTCAATGCTTTAGGCGAGCCCTACCCCAACTTTCTGCCTCTTCGACTACTTTCCAGCTAAGCTGTACCGATCTAGAATGACAGTAGACTCACAAACCATTCGGCCGGTCAGAATAACTGTGCTGTTGTCCGCAAATCAACTGCCTAGATCTAAACAGAAATACTACTCTCCTTCAAACGGCACGTTTAAAAGGGGCATATACGTTTATTAACGGCTAAATAAATTTCAGTTTTTTCTGTGCAT